GTGTGTGTGTGTGTGTGTGTGTGTGTGTGTGTGTGTGTGTGTGTGTGATGCACATGCATGGGGGGTGGGCAAGCTGAAGCTTTTGGGAACCAGAGAGATAAGAAGGAAAGGAAGAGAGATCATTGTCTCTGATTCCTTGAAATGGCAATCTTACTCTGACCTGGCTTTTCTTTTAAAAATTATTTTTTAAAAAAACCACTTGTGTTTCTTAATCAGCATGTCTTTGCACTTATATTCTCTGAGGCTACATCTTGTTTCTTCCTCTTTTCACCCTGCCATCCATCCATGCATCCATTCATCCATCCATCTGTGCATCTGTTTATTTATTTAGCAGTACTGGGGATTGAACCCAGGAGTGCTCCCCCGCTGAGCTACACCCCCTGTCCTTTTATTTATTTATTTACATTTATTTATTTATTTATTTGGTATCAGGGATTGAACCAGGGGTGTGTAACCACGGGCTACATCCCCAGCCCTTTTTATTTTGAGACAGGGTCTCATTCAGTTACTAACAGCCTTGCTAAGTTGCTGAGGCTGGCTTTGAACCTGGGATTCTTCTGCCTCGTCCTCCCGAGGCACTAGGAGTACAGGCTTGCACCACCGTGCCCGGCTTTATTTTTCATTTTGGGACAGGGTCTCCCTAAGTTATGTAGGCTGCCTTGAACTTGTGATCCTTCTGCCTCGGCTTCCCAGGTAGTTAGGAATACAGTTGTGTGTATCACACCCAGTCCTGTTATATGTTTTTTTTTAATATTTATTTTTCAGTTGTAGTTGGACACAATACCTTTACTTTATTTATTTACTTATTTTTATGTGGTGTAGAGGATCAAACCCAGGGCCTCGCATGTGCCAGGTGAATACTGTACTGCTGAGCCACAACCCCTGCCCCTTGTCATGTGTTTTAAGAAAGAAAATGCTGTCAATACATTCAAAATCTTTCCTTTGTTGTCATAGTGCTATGTATTAGTCCCTCCCCTCTCCCCAATGTCACATTTGTCTTCTTTGGGATGAATAAATTCTACTTGGTCCTGTTCCCCAGCTTGACACAGCTCCAGGGTTTTAGGAAGACTCAGCCTGAGATGACCCAGATATTTTAAGGGAAGTCAAAACAACAGTCATCAATTTTTTTCCCCTGAAGGATCTCAAAATTTTTATTATAACATTAGTGGCAAATGTTGGTGTTTTGATCCAGCATAGTGAGTAAAAATTTTTAAGCTTGAGAAAAAAAAATATTCTGCACTCAATTGCTTTGGAATCTATGTGTTATCACCAACTTCAATCTATAAATGAACAACCAGACTTGCATTTCCTAGAATTGACTAATTGTCTCCATCTCTCAGTAGACTTAGTTCAGGTTGTGCTTCTGCTACATCCTTCCAGTAAGGATGCAGCAAAGGCAGAGAAGAGACTTTCTTCTCTATCAGAGGCCAGAGGTGTGAAAATAAAAATTCATTTCCCTTTGGTGATAGAGGTAGTCTATCAGATAAGTAGGATGAGAAGTCCTTGCATGATGCACTCCCTTTCCCAAGCTGTTTCAAAAAGTGGGGGTGGCGTGATGAGTATGACTCAATGCTCAGGGACATCCAACGATTTCAGGTACTACACCATATTTTTAAAGTTTGCAACATACTCTTCCAGGGAAATGTGCTGCTTGGGATTCTCATCTTTTAGTGCACTGTCATTGGCACAAAAGAAAATTGTAACTGCTACTGTATCGTCCAAACTGTTCCCTTTCCTGATTAGTCTTGGAAGAATAATTTTGGCCTTCTGGTATCGTAACCTGACCAGTTTGTCTGCCAATGATGCTCCCCATCCACCCTGCTGAAAAGAAAACTGGGCGATGGAGTCCCCTAAAAGCAACACTTGAGGCCAGGGCAGAGACCCATAGTATTGCAGGCCTGAGTGATTGGTTTTCACACTTTGTACTTGACAATTTCAAAAGGCCAATGCTACTTTCTGAAAAATAGAAACCTAGCCTTTGTCCCCACAAAATGTGCCTCCTTGAGAATGCTACTCAACCTGCCCAAGCTTCAAGGATGTTATGCATAATTTTACCAGCTGAAAGGCAGAGGACCCGACGTTTGTTCTCCACACATCTCCTCTGGGCTGAAGGTCCTGTGAGTATTATAACATGAGAAACACGACCACCAGATTGATAGATTGCAAGGTAGATTTGGGGTCCTATTTAACTTTTGCAAGGTAGATTTGGGTCCTGTTTTCCTCAAATACCTGCTGCCCACAACATACAATTAGCAATTTTAATAGCCATCGTTTACTGAGCAACTTATGGGCCTTATCTGCCTGGGCCTCAAACTTGTGCAGCAGTGGTTATGAGGAGAGAAGGGAGAGTGTGGATTTCCATGCGCAGTCAACGGCCCACCCAGGGACTCCAACTTTTGGGAGCAGGTAGCATCTCTGGGTCAGCAAGCTCTCCCTGGGAGCTAAAGAAGAGAGGAAGACCAAGTCTTTGAGATCTTTATCTCTTCTTTTACTGCCCTTCTGATTAAGCCACAGTACATGCGCAACTTCCAGGCAGAGACAGCCATTAGAATTCAGTGTTACTGAAAAACATTTAAGTATTGACAACATTTCCTCTAATGCACCTTCGGATGGGAGCTGCTGAGCTGAATCGAGCTGTTTGGGTTATGGGTGGAGAGGAGCACTAGAAAATTATCTACACAAGGAAGCAGGAGTATGGGGAAAGGTGAGGGGGACTTGGGGGAATGGCTGCCTTTATTTTTTTATTTTTATTTTTTGGTACCGGGGATTGAACCCAGGGGTGCTGAACCACTAAGCCACATACCCAGTCCTTTTATTAATATTTTATTTAGAGACAGGGTCTCCTGAGTTGCTAAGTGCCTTGTTCAGTTGCTGAGATTGGCTTTGAACTCATGGTCCTCTGCCTTGGCCTCCCAAGTCATTGGGATTACAGGTGTGCACACTGTGGCTGGCAGCAGCTGCTTTCATAGCAGGACAGAGTTACTAAAGAGGATTGGAGGATTCCCTGTGCATTGAAGGAATGTAAGTCCTCCTTGCAGGCTGTTCTCTCTGACCTGATACCTCCAGGAAATATGAAATGACTCCGTGACCTTTTGCCTTTAGCGTTTTTTTAAAATATATTTTTAGTCATCGATGGATCTTATTTATTTATTTGTATGTGGTGCTGAGAATTGAATCCAAGGCCTCACACATGCCAGGCAAGTGCTCTACCACTGAGCCACATCCCTAGCCCCTGTCTTTAGGCTTTTTTTCACTACCACTTGGTGTAAACATGGGCCTTGAGGAGGCCCAGACTTAGGTTACATTGGCAGGAGAAGCTTTGCAACGAGTGAGATGTTATGGTGTCTGTGTATATTATTTTTCATCCATGGTTCCTGGCTCATAACTCCCTCCCTAATACGCCATAGAAACTAGGATTTCTCTTCCCCAAAGCAGATCATAGAAACTCTAATCTTCCCCTGCCTTTCTGTTTAAAGCTGGCTATAAAGAAATCCTCAGGCCTGCCTTGTCTGATAGTAAATCAAAAGACCCTCATTTCAGAAGGGGAGCTGCCTTATACTTGGAAGGAAGGAAAACTATACAGAAAGCCTGAGAAGAATCTGGACAGGCCTCGCTGGGTTTCCCCACTCAGCCTGTTAGCATAGATCAGACCCTTTTGTCTAATTCCATTTCTACACAGTTGTCTTGCTTTAATTGTGTCTATGCAATGTAGTTTCCACCGAAACTCAAGGAACAAGGTTAAAAAGCTTCCAGAGATCTGAGCATGGGCAGGTTCCTGAGAGTGGTGTATCAAAAAGAGCATGGGAGGTCCATAAACCTTCTCCACCACCTTGCTTTATGCATCTTTTCATTTGTATTCTTTGCAACATCCTTTATAATAAGTTGGGAAATGTGGGCTATGGATGTAGCTCAGTGGCAGAGACCTTGACTAGCATGTGCAAGATGCTGGGTTCAAACCCTAACATTGTTAAAAAGTTTTTTAAAAAAGAGTAAACCAGTAAATATGTTATTATAAGTTTTGTGAGCCTGTCTAAGAAATTAATAAAATTTGAGAAGCAGGTTGTGGGAACCCTAACAGATAATCAGTCAGACATTCAGTTAAAACAACCTAAGTGGGACTTGCGACTGGAGTCTGAAGGGTAGTGGGGGGAAATCTTGGGGACAGAATTCTCAGCTTGTGGGATCTGATGCTGTCTCCAGTTAGATGGTGTCAGAAATGAGTTGAATTAGAAGACAATCTATTCGCTGGTGCAGAATAGATTGTTCACTTGAGGTGAGCAATCACGTGTGGTGTCAGAAGCGATCTGTGTTGTGAAAGTGCAGCGAGAGAAACTGAGTTTGAGAACCAGAATCAAGCAGCTTTTCAGACAAAGGATCTTGCTGCCAGGAAGGATTAAGCATGGGACAGGCAAAGAGTCAATAAGCAATAAAGCCTTGCAGATTGTTTGAAGGGCAGGTCCAATAATTTCTTCCCTAATAAAAAGACTACAGCTGTAAGTCTGAGCATTTACACAGAATTTTCCCATCCATTGTTTCATCTTTGTTCCCATGAAAACCCCATAAACTATGCACAGTAAACTTAGTATGAACCCCACTTAGAGGACATGAAACCAATGTTCAGTGACCTGCCCAATTCACAGAGCTAAGAAGGGCAGGGCCTGGGCAGGGATCCAGCCTGACTCAATTTGTCCTCATTCTTCCAGGCTCCTTGCCATCCCGGTCATTTACCTCCCTGCCTCCCCTCCATTCTCTACCATCCCAGACTTCAACATGAAAATTAAGTTTTTCTGTTGCACTTGAATTTTCAAGTCCAAGTGCAACAGAAAACACATCATGGCCAGAGAGCCCGAAAGCCCTTTTGTATTTTGCATATATCTTGTTTGGAGACGTACAGTCTTTTAATATTTAAGGGACTTGGTCTCTGTAGATCTGGCAAGATGTGACTTAGTGATACATCACAGACATCCAGGAAGTAAACCATAAGATAAATACCTCCCTCTCCTCCCTCTGCCGTCCTTACGATCAAGTTGTCATGGGAAAGTAACTGGAGGTGTAGTCCCCTGAATAAGTACAATATTACCATGACATTTGTTCCAAACTACGTAAAACAAAACACTTCATAACCATCCAAGTATATTTGGAACTCCCCACGCATGTTCAAGGTAAGCATTTTGGTTCAGGTCTGTTTAATGTTTCTATCAGAAACTTGAGTAATGTGAGAAGAATGTTCACAGATTGTTGAGATGACAAAATCTGGAGACATGACTGATTTCTGCATCACAGAGAGGAGAAGCAGCAATGCTAGCAACTGAGGCTTCAACATCACACGTGGCTTCTGTGTGTGTACAGATAATCCATCCAAGCCACGGCTCTCATCCGGGGCCTGCTCATTTCCAAGAAGAGTCCTGTTCTTCGTATCATGACCACATTCTGGACCTGAGTATTGTTCAGGAGCATCACCGTCTCTAGGAGCAGTTTTCCACAATTCCAGGTTGTGCTTTCTGCCTCTTTCTCTTACACCTGTTCCGAACTTGTCTTCTCCCTGTTTCCACCCACTTCCTTTCTCTTCTGCATTAGTGAATGTCACCACTTCCCACTGGGGCACCATGTCAGAAACTTGAACTTGCCCTCCTTTTCCTCTTATAACCCCAGAATGTCAGAGTGGATCAGAATACGCCACCCCAAAACATGCCACTTTGGCAGAAGGTTTGTTTTGAGTTGAAGGTAATAAGGCAGCAAATGCAGAAAGAGTTCTGTCCCCTCTTCTTTTCTGCTCAAAAGCAGGACACAAATTTCCCTTTATGAGGGAAACTAATAATAGATAAGGGTTATTTTAGTAAGGTTGGTTTGTGCAGACCCATCTTAGTCTCCAGTGATAAGCGATGTCCTCCTAATATAGGGCTCCACTTAGGGCTCAGGCAGAACCTTGAACTTCACCCTTGATGCCCTCTTTCCCATAGAACCTTCAATTTCACATTAGCCATAATGATAATCATGAGCAACTTTCACTGAATCTTTGTTATATTCCGGGCACCATTTGAAGAGCTTCAGGTGTATTAACCCATTTAATCCCTCATAGCTACACCATGCGGTAGACTTTGTTACCATCTCCCTTTGATGGATGAAGGAGCTCAGAGATGCAGCTAGGAGTGGTCAACTGGAATTTATGCCGGAGGCACGAAAGCCCCTTGCCTCTATTTGGGACATTTCTGTCAGGTCTTGTCATCTCCAGTGCTTTCTGAGGAGCTCTGTGCTCTGAACTCTTCCCTCAATTGCCCTTTCATCTCACCTGTTGTACCTGTGATATTTGTTTTTTCTTATCTTTTAACCTGTAGAGTATAAACTCAGAGAGCAGGGATTTCCTTGTTTATTGTCCTATCCCCAGTAAAGGGCCTCGTTCCAACTAGATGCTTAATAAATATACGATGACTGAATAAATGTCTGAAAAAATGTCACGAGGAGATGATTAAGGATTCCTTAGTGTAATTGAATTGTATAGCTGAACAGGAACTTAGAGCTTAGCAGTCCTGGGGGTATTGGGCCTGGAAAAAGCAAATTTAGGAAGGATATAAAAGTGTCTTCAAATATTTGAATAGCTGCCAGTGGGAGAGAGGCTGTCCCTTGTGCTCCTGAGCCAGGAGTATCAGTATCGGTCTAGAAAAGGAGGTGGGGGAGAACGAAAAAAGTTGGAGAGTTGAAAAATGTTGCACAGAAAACTGCAAAAAAAGAAAACTCAGCAAATCCTTCTGTCTGATGGGACTTGTCACTTGGTAAGTGACAGAGTAAAAGAGACATGTTTTGGCCAGGTGGAAATTTGAGTCATAGGAAGGCTGGGCTTGGCTGACAACAAGAAAGAATTCTCCGTCTTTTGAAGGAGAGGGTTACTCAACAGAACAGAGGTCACACCCTTTTCCTGATTTTGGATGGAGTCTGATGTTGGGTTGTGGTGTGGGACAGAGGTCCCTCAAGCTTCTGCATGCTCTCAGAGCCTGGGGTGTTTTCCCTGTTCCCTCAGTCTTCCCCCTGCTTCCAGTTCTCTCTCCAGAGTCATTTGGTCCTTGAAGAAACAGACTCTTTGTCTCTGGGCCCCTGAGCTTCTTCCCAAGTCCAGATAACATGGCCACAGGTATTGGATGTGGAGTGGACCTTCAACTTGCCCTTCTGGCAGAAGGCTCTCACCTTCCCTACCCTAGATTTGGAGAGTAGTGGCTGCTGATGCCTCTTTCCACAGCTCTGGAAGTGGCCTCGGTGGAAGGAAGGTACCTTACTCAGGCCGAGGGTTCAGTCTCCCCATGGGGCCATCCCAATCCCATGACAGATTTCTGCTGGAAGCACCAAAGCCCCTTGCCTCCATGTGGGACATTTCTGTCAGGTCTTGCCATGTCCAGAGCTCTCCCTGGGCTGAGCCATTGTTGCAACTGCATCACCTGCTGTTCCTCCCTCTGCCAGTCCTGCTTCCCTCCTTCCTGAGGGGAGTTCCTGAGAGTACTAGCCAACCTTATTCCTCTCCTGAGGATGTTGTAATAGGCATCACAAGCTGGTGGCTTAAGACAACAGAAACATTTCTGTACAGTTCTGGAGGCTAGACGTTTGAAATCAAGTTGTTGGCAGAGCCACGTCCCTCTCTAGGGGAGAAGTTCCCCATGCCTCTCTCCCAGCTCCTGTTGTTGGCAGCAGTCCTTGATGCTGCTTGGCTTGCACATG